GAATTAGTTATGAGGTGACACTTTACTTAATTTGATAGGGCTACAGCCCTATCAAACCATTTTCCATGTCATAGTAGGTTTCAAGTATGTACGCCAGTATTAATACGTGCGTGAACTCATGGTAATGGTTTTCATTACTGTCCATTCAATATTCTGGACTAAGTTTGGGCGGTGATTCTTGAAGGCTGTTATGCATATCTATTAGTCACATGATTAGCGGGACCCAGTCTCCATCACCCTCTACCTATTGGTAGTAGGGTTGCCACCGGTCCGGGCTTGGAAGGGCTTGGGCTTAGCCTAAGGAACAGCCCGATTATATTTTGCTGCGTGCCCTAGCCTAGACCGGACTGAATATGTGTATTCGGGCCAAACCCAAGTTGGCATGAAATACTCTGTAAGCCTAGCCTCGCACAATCCAACCTAACACAAACAGGGTTTTAATTTAATATAGGATTGGCTCGGGCCATTATAAAAAATAATAAAAATAAATAAATAAATAATAATAAATAAATACAAAAAAAGAGAAGCCATTGGCTCCCTCTCTCTCTCCACCGCAGGTATAAGGGATCTCTCTCTCCAATTTCTCTCTCTTTGATTTCACCCTCTCTCTTCTATTTCTATTGTCTCTCTCAGCTCCTCACTCCTTTTGGGTATGGCCCTGGAGAGCACGACACAATTCTAAATTTCAGATATGTAGAAAGAAAACTATAAATAAATGGACACGGTTAGTATATGGCCAAGCACGCACATGTAGAAATGCGAGCTTGGCAATTAATATATTTTTTAAATATAATTTGATCCTAATTTTTAGAAAATATTTAATTTTTAACATGGAGATCATGAATATGAATAAATAAATAATTTTTAAAAACTGCAAATAATAATTATATTAAAAAAATATTTGGAATGTTAGTTACAAATGTTTTTAGACGGACCACCTATTTGCATCCGTCATTAAGATGGATGTTTTATGCCTCTGGACCACATATTGTAGAAATGCGGGCCAACCCGCATGAAAACAATTGTTCTAAATAAAATTGTTTGAGCCTTCCTATTAAGATCAAATGATAATAGGCTCACTTGTGACTTTATGATTGAAAGTCGTCCTAGCTGTCCATTCAAATTAGACAGTTATGAGATGGGTAGCATATGCCAGTTTCCATTGCCTAGTCACGTGTAGGAAGATTTCCCTTTAATTATGCATCGAGTTTCTTAATAAAGGAGTTAGGTTTTAGTTTGGGAAGGGATTGGGATTGTGGGGTAACACCCCCAATACTTTAATCCAATATCGTGCTCTCCAATCCCACTGAAATTTCATAAGAGTGTCATTGAGTAGACACAAAGTGTAAAATAAAATCCTCAGATTTCCGTGACTCACCCCAAGCCATTCAAATTGCCATTTAATAAGTGAAAATTGTGACCTCCATGTACAAAAGATGAATTGTCTCTTTGTAGACAGTCATTTAAAAAAATGAGTAGGGGCCTCTATTCCCCCTGCCCCCCCAAAAAAAAAAAAGAAGGTTAGGTTTTAGCTTTTTGCTCCAATAAATATTATGGAAAAAGATTTTGTTAGCCCAAAGGCCAATGCAATAGTATACACCCCAAATGGCCTAAATTGAATTTGGGTCGATCAGACGTCAACAACCGTCAACAACTGTGTTTTGCCTTTAAATTCTATTTTTTTTATAAGAATCCGCATTACTTTTTTGACAGTTTACTTTTAAAAAATAGGCACACCTATAAAAATATTAAAAAATAATTTACACAAAATTAATTTGACCAAATTGCCCCTAAAACATACAGGAGTATTATGTTCAATATATTTTTTGTGAGTTATTTTTATATTTTTAAGTGTGAAGGCTCCAAATTTCAAGAATTTAAATACGAAATGCAATCATGATTATCAGATCAACCTACAGTTACTCTAGACCAATAGTTTAAAAAGCGGATCGGTGACCCGGATCGGGCACCTCAAAAACCGATCCGAAATGGCGAATCGACGATCCGGATCGGGAATCGGGTGAATCGGTCAGATTAAAGCTTCAAAAAAATCCAAAAAAATTATTAAAATTCATTATAAATATTGTTTTTTAGGAATTCAATAAAAAATGAGGGTACTCCATTAAGAATTTTCATTTCTTTGCATGAATATGCGAATATTGATATGTTCTTTCCCTGCATGAACTACTATTTACCATTTAATTTACGTCACACAAAAGGATAAACATAGAATTATCATGGAATAAGTATATCAACATCCATGGACTACAATAAAGCATACAATTAGTAAAATACGATCTAAAAATAAAATGACAGACGACGTCATTCTTCTTCTTGGTCACGCTGGTTGCATTGATTGAATTCGTTTGACAATTCATTGATTCGATCTAAAAACGAATCATCGATATTAGCAGGTGTCTGACTATATCCAAATCCCTGAGTGTTCTGTTGTGTTTCCAGTCTAAAATCCCCGAAAGCTTGTCCATCCTTCATGCTCACCTACACTGTCGTGCTCATCCCTACCCTGTTGCTGTTGGGACTCGATATGTGAATAATATGGCTGGGATAGGGTTGCCTCGGAATCATCATCTTTCTCATTTTCCCTTAGACCCCCTTCTCACTCTCCCTCATTAGGTGCAATATCACCGACATCTCCGACGAATTGTGGATATGTTGGCTGACTGCTTCCTCTTTCATGCTGCTCATCACCTTCTTCCAGATCTTCCTCATCGATAGCCTCAAGGAACGCTCTCTTGTGCAACACTGGCTCCTCCTCTTCTACTACCCATTGGTATACTGTGTCTGTGACAAATATTGTGTCTAAGTCTATCGCCCCACAGTTTTCAAGCTTCCTTCGTATTTATCACTCTCGGAGGTTTAAGTTGTAATGAACGTAGGCTAGTTTATGAAGCTTCTCCGAAGCGAGTCGATTTCTCCTAGCAGAGTGCAACCATTGAAAAGTACTCCAGTTGCGCTCACAGCCAATAGCAGAACATGTCTGGGAGAGCACATTGATTGCTATCCTCTTTAGGTGAGGTGCATCAGTACCATATATCTCCCACCATTCAGCTATATTAAAATGCAAAAAGCATTGTAAGGGCAAGAACAATTCATAAGATTAAATATATGAATGAACAAAATATTAGCTAGGGGATAACCTGGATCCATCTTAGTTCGAGAATTCCTGGTAAGTCTAGTTCCGAAGGATCCTATAACATCCCTATACGTAGCAAGCTAAAACAAATATATTTCGTTTTAGTGCATTATTCCTCACAAATATAACAACTCAATAAATTTCTTACCCAAACATTAAATAATACCTCGTGTACTGCTGCTACCTGGTTTCGATAGCTTCTCTCCAACCTGACAATAATGTATCTGACCCCTTCCATAATCTTTTTGGGATGTTCAGGTGTCAAATAGAAAAATTTTGGGTTGAAGAAGAAACCTGGAAAATATATCGATAGAAAAATGTCATTTAAAATTTTATAAAAAAATAATTTACAAAGAAACATTCTAATGATATAAATATATATTTACCTACATAATGAATTGGACGTCCAAATTTGGTGTTCCACCTTCGTTCTATAATCTCGATCACTTTGCTAGCAAAACTACACTTCTCCCCAATAGCTGATTTCGCTCTTTCGATACTTTCATAAAGAACGCCCATGGCAGCTTTCTTCTCAGCATCCACCATTCTTAACACCGCGACTAAAGGGGCAGTGGCCTTTACGACACTGAAACATCGAGACCAGAACTTCTTATTTGAGACTATGCCGTCCACTTTTATACCGGTACTGGACTTCAAGAGGCAGTTATTTAACCACTCTTCACAGGTAAACAATCTCTTTAATGCACCTTCAGATTCCCGAATGGAGTCCACAACTAAGTAATCGGTCGCAAAACAGGTTATGGCAAGCCTGATTATCTCTTTTTTCTTAGAGTGTTCTTTAAATAGAAATAATATTTTAGAGTGGTTATATATAAATCTCGACACCAACCTTGCTTCATCTAGAGTGTCCTTCACAATTTTGATCTCACCGATCTCCTCTAACATAAGATCGATGTTGTATGCAGCACACGACGTCCATACTAAATGCTTCCTCTTATCCATTAACTTCCTGCCCGCAGAAATACATGCATGCACATTGTCTGTAATAAACTGGACTATATGCTTATCTCTTACCTCCTCCACTATCTGATCATATAGTCGTACGTAGAAGTTTGCATCCTTCTTCGTTCCTGATACGTCTTTGCTAGACAAAAAAACTGTACCTTTTGGGGAATAGGCCAAGAAGTTTAAAAACTCCTTTTTGTTAACTTTATTCAACCAACCATCACTCATGAGAGTAATGCTTGTCCTTGGCCAACTCTGTTTATATTCTTCAATCCACTTAGTAACTTCCTCCACCCCTTAATCTAATATTGGCCCACTGAGCTTGTATGCCGTCGGGGGTTTTACCCCGGGCCCTGCTCTTTGGATTGCACTGACCATAGGTAGAAAATATGGGCTATTGGCTGCATCAAAGGGAATCCATTTATCGTAGAACATTTACCAACATATCTCCCCAACATGTTTTTTGTACCTTTAAACATGCCTTTTAGGGTCATCTGTTGTGACTTAGGCTTTAAGAGAAATTGGTCTATACGACCATGACCTGCAATACTGGCACTCCTAGATAAGTTAGGAACTATTTCTTCAACGTTTGTTCTTGTTGACACATACTGCCACCAACCCCTCCATACATATTTGAGCTGGGCCCGTCATACATGCTCGACCTGGGCCCGCCATGCATGTCTAAGCTGGGCCCGCCATACATGTCTAAGCTGGGCCCGCCATACATGTCTGAGCTAGACCCACCATGCATGTCTGAGCTAGACCCACCAGGCATTCTAAACCCACGTTCCCTCT